ATCTCAACCTTATAAACATATAGAACTTGTACTCAGCTTGGGGATTGACACTTGTATATATATAATGATGTGTCGGAGCATAAAACTACCACAACATCATCAAGAAGATCATACATTCAGGCCTAAGCATAACCCATCTTTGGTTAGCATGGTTCATCCACCTAAACTAGATTATGGTATGAACCATCTTCCCTAGGCATGGCCTATCAAGGTCCTTCAATAGTATGCTGTAGCACATGAAATCAATTAAATATCATAGACTATCTTCAGTTGGTATGGAGCATCTACCTAACTACATTAATCTAAGGGTGTAGTATGGTCCATCTTTCTTAGGTATAACCTATATAAATTCTTAATTTCATGCCAATATAACCATTTCATAAATTCTTTCCCATTGTCACTATAGGAAATCAAGTGTAATACTTGTATCAATATGATTTTTAAGATAAGATAACAAATCAACACAAATATATATTCATATGATAAACACATGCATTAATTTAATGTAAAGAACATCAAGTCAATGTAAATACTTCTAATTTATGAAACTAATATATACAATAAAAATCCCCAAATTGAAATACAAATCAAACCACGTTTACTTGGTCTAGGTTACATCAACTCCCTAGAAAAGAGATTTAGCCTCTCATGAATATGGCAACACCCTCCAGGATTGAAGAAGAGAATAGAATTCCCTCACCCACCATCTTTGCAAGCCACTCCAAGAACCCTAAAAATCCTTCTCTTTCTTTGTCTCTTTTCCAAAACAAAAGCGAGATAGACTCCTTCAGCCTTTTCCCCCTCTTTATCCTCCCGTCTATTCAAAATACAAAATCTCTCATTTAAAATTTGAAATTACATCTCAGGATAGACAAAATTGGACTTAAAGAAAATGGGGTCCGTGGTCTCACGTCTGGACGCGAAGACTGGCATCCGGACACGAGGCCCTGATGGTTTAGCGTCCGGACGTCAAAATGGGCATCTGGATGTGAGCTTCTGGAAGATGGTGTCCGGACGCCAGGCATGCTGCTCTGACATAGACTTCCCTCTTTAGCTCCGGTTACATCTATCACCTCTTCATGTCATTTCTCTTTGATGATCACTTGAAATGTAGGCCTGATATGACTTGTGCTTCGAAACCCTTTAAAACTTTATTCTTATTCCTTTTTAGCAATAAGACCAGCAAAAACACAACACATAAAAATGTAGTTAATCTATATAAACAGATCAAATAATGGGCTTAACTAATGCAATTAAGGGTGCTTAAATATGAAATATTTGATGTTTATCGGTGTGTGTGCTACAACTAGTGAGTAGTACAACCTATCAAATTAAGCCATTAACTATTCAATAAAGCCATACTTAATGCATACAAAAATCTAGAGAAATGTACTACTTGCACTTATAAGCATGGATCATCAAACAGTACGTATGGATTATCTACCTATCTAGGAATTTAAAGCAACTACACTATAATTATACTAATGACAAGGAAATTAAACTAATTAAGCTAAGAAGGTTGCACAAGCCATCAAGAAATAAGTATAATCCATTAAATAAACCACAAGAATAGCCAATTAAGCACCATGCCTTGACCATCACTAGATTTACAATTCTAATACACTTAGACATGCATTAAACTGATAAAATCTAGTGTAAGCATATAGCCATTCATTTTAACATACGTAGACATATGAATAGAATTAAAATATCAATTGGAAGAATTAATCCAAACAAATCATGTAGAAACTCAAGATTTATATATAATTATAGGTCAAAATAGTATTTACAACATAAATCCCCAAAAATTACAAAGTACTAAGATTTAGGAGGCAAGCCTAGGGGCTATCTCTGGTCCAAGAGAAGGATCTAGCCATTCATGGTTGTTGTTATCCAACCCTCAAGGGCTTTCTTCAATGTAGGCACCATCTTCTTCCTCTTGCTTTGGTCTCCAAAACCCTAATCTAGAGAGAGAAAATTATCTAAGCGCTATACTATTTTTAGCTAAAGTTGGGAACAAAAGTTGGAACCTTAACAAAATGGTCCAATTCTATTTAAATACAAGCCTCTTTGAGTAGGTTATAAGTCAGAAAATAGGCATTTCATTGGTCTAATCCCGTAACTACAAAAGTTGGTGGAGTTCGGACGTGCTCGGGAATAAAATAGCTTACTGCCAACAGGATCTTCGAAGTCGAAGCCATCTTTGATCGATCGAAGTTGACCTGGCATTAAAAATATCTTCTTGGCCTTAACCAGATTGCTGAGCTGGCACCGCTTTCACTTCGATCGATTGAAGATCTTGTCGACCAATCGAGAACTCCTTTGATCGATCGAAGACTGTCCAGTGTAGTTTTTTTTACTTTTTCTGGATTTTCTTCTTGACTCCAAAAAGGAGCTAATATGTTTTTTTTTTTTAGCCTGTTTGAACCTTATTAACCTGAAATAGATAAAAACACAAATTAGAACTAAAACGGGAAAGTAAGATAGATGAATGGACTAAATACCCTAACTTAGGTGCTAAAATGTGCAATATTTGAGCACTTATCATCTCTTCAACCATTGGAGCTTCAACCACTACCAGGATGAGCTAAATCTCCTTTTAGGGGATTAAGGTAGCCTTGATCAATTTAAACATGTAATTCTTGTATTTTAATTTGGGGAAACAATGTTGTATGTAACAGATTTCATGAATAAGATGAAAAGTCATATTGAAATTTGTATTTTCACATTATATTGATGTATGATTTGTACTGAATTCATAATATATAAGTATGTCTACTATGAAATTCTTGTCTTAGAATCATGTTTCCATATTTATGCCCTTGATATTCTTAAAGTGACATTAAGAATGGAATTCGTGAAATGGTTTTATGGGCATGTCATGTAAAGAATTAAGATAGATTATGCCAAGGGAAAATGGACCATGACACCTTAGATTAATGTAGTTTTTTCTTTTCTTTTTTTTTTTTTTCCTAAATGAAGGAGTATAATAAATTCAACAATATAGTACAAAGATTCAAGTAAGGGCATACCCTCACTAAAACAAAACAAAAAGTCCTAAATAAGGACTAAACCACACAATCTAGCAAGCAAGGAAATTAAAAGAAGTCTTGAAGGTTAACCCCCAACACATCAATCACTTCCCAAAAAATACATTTAGCTAGATTTTCAGCCTGTCTAACAAAATTATCATGTAATCTATTATTCCTTTCCCACCAAAGAAAATATAAAGTAGTTGTGAAGCAAACTCTGGCCATTTTCCTGACATCTTTCCTTTGGAAATCCTGATTAAACTGATCCACCAAATCTTACACCACATTAACCTTTTGCAAGTTCCATGAACACACCTGAGATAAGAAGCTCCAGACCTTCCATGTATACTCACAACAACAAACTAAATGATCCATTGTTTTCACCTCTTTGTAGCATAGGTAGCACCTTGAAGCCAATATAACTCCACTCTTTTGTAAGAACACTTGTGAAATAAGTGCCTTATGCATAACCAAAATTGCATGAACTGACCATCTAGGACGGCCACCATTCCAGCACAAATCAGCCCACACCACCTCTTGATATTTCACTCTACTTGCTTCCCAAGCGACATTGAAACCAAAAGGTGTTATCCATTGTAACTTATCATCCCCTCCGGCAATAACTTGATTTTTGAAAAGCTGAATCATGTCCTGAGTTGTAGTGCTCAATTTATCCTCATCCCATTGCCCATTAGTAATGAAGCTGCTCATACAGATAGTCTTATCTCTACTCAAAGCCCCCAACATCATATGATTATAAATGTCACTCAAATACTTCCCATCACATCATGGATCCATGAAGACTTTAGTATTCTCTCCATTGCCAATCTTGAATCTGTAATTCACCTTAATAATATCTCTGACAGCAACAATACTCCTCCATACTGTTGATGAAGTGCTTTTAACAACCACAGACCAGTATGAAGCCCTCTTCAAGTAACAATTTCTAAACCAAGCAACCCATATTATATCCTTAGATAGAAGGAAATCCCACACCAGACATATCTTTGTAGCAATGTCAATGTCCTCAATCCTTCTCAACCCCAAACCACCTTCCTTCTTAGGCACAGTGTTATTCTTCCACGAAATACCATGAATTTTCTTTTTATTTTCAACATGTCCCCAAATAAAATTCCTCATTCTTCTCTTAATAACACTTGAGACTGTAGCAGGAAGAGAGAATACTGAAGTCTAGTACTACACCATAGGAATGATGACAGCCCTACTCAACTCAACTCTACCTGCCATTGAAATATGCAACCCATTCCATCTAGCTGTAACAACAATGACCTTATCAACCAGATTTAAACAATCTGCCCTTCTAAGCTTTTTGTCAGAAATAGGTAAACCAAGACAGGTAAAAGGCAACTTCCCCTCCTTACAGCCAAGAATTCACAGAATAGATTTCCTTCTCTTCACTGTTCTAGTTAAATATACTTCAGATTTCTCTTTACTAATAGCAAGGCTAGAGGTTTTTTTAAATTGAAGTAGAAGTTTTTTCAATGTTAAAACACTGGCCATATTTGCTTGCACCACAATTAAGAGATCATCAGCAAAGAATTTATGAGTAATTGGAATTCTGGCTTTAACTGCAGCTTGAGATGGAATCACTTTACCTTTCTTTGTTTCCCACTCCATCATACCAGAGAAGTATTCAATAACAAGAGTGAATAACAATGGAGACAAGGGGCATCCCTGCCTTAACCCCCTTTCAGGTTGAAAGTATCCTTGAGGAGATCCATTAACAAGAATAGAATACCACATAGATGATACACATTCTTTAACCCAAGTAATCCATTGAGCACTAAAGCTAAACAACTTCAGCAACTCAAACAAAAATGGCCACTACACTGTGTTATAGGCTTTCCTCAAATCAATTTTCCACGCTAGCGTAGCTTTAGCCCTCTTAGCCCCAAACCCTTTCATCAACTCATTAGCAATAATAATATTGTCTTGGATCCTTCGACCTTAGATGAAAGCTGTTTGTTCATTTCCTACAATTTTGCTTAAAACCGTAGCAAGTCTATTAGCAAGGATCTTAGCTACCACTTTATAAAAAACATTGCAGAGAGATATAGGCCTGTAGTCCTCAACCATAATAGCATCCTTCTTCTTCTTAATCAAAGTGATAAATGTACTATTGACCCCCTTCCCGAAGACTGGATTATGAAAAAACTGCATAACTGCCTTTGTAAAATCATCACCCACAATACTCCAATATTGCTGAAAAAACCTAGCAGAAAATCCATCAGGACCTGGTGCTCTATCAGCTCCCATTGCAAAAATAGTGCTCTTCACTTCTTCTTTTGTAACTACAGCCTGCAACAAGGTACTCTCCTCAAGATCAATAGTTTTTCTAATATATTTCTGCTCTGGAACCTATAACTCTCTACACCCTCCTGCACAAGCTCTTTGAAAATACTCAACAAACCTCTGGCTAATAACATTAGGATCAGTAATAGTAGTTCCTCCCTCTTACAATGCTGTCATATTACTATTTGCCCTATGCTGCTTAATTTTCTGAAAAAAGAACTTAGTACATCTATCTTGATCTTTCACCCATCTAATCCTTGATTTCTGAGAGAGAACAATATTTTCATTTGAAACTGCCAATTCCAAATTTAATCTACATACATCCTCTTTGTGTATAACATCCTCATTCATTGGGTCATCAGCCAAAACACCTTGAATCTCAGCTAACTTCTTTCTGCATGATATCACTTCAGCATAAACTGATCCAAATTTCTCTATGTTCCACTGTTTCACAGCTTGTTTACAAAGCTTTAACTTGACCATTAATTTTGCAATTGGCTCACCCTTAAATTGTTTACCCCAAGAAGCAGCTACCAAGTCCTTGACAACAGGTTGCTTATTCCAGATCAACAAAAACCTAAAAGGTTTAGGACCTGAGGCAATGTTCACAGGCACTTTAACACATAATCCCCAATGATCTGAGGTCAAAGGAGGTGTTAATAATACGTACAAATCTGGATAAGTAAGAGCCCAATCTTCATTCATTAAACCTTTATCTAATTTAGCATAAATCCTTCTATTGCTGTATCTCTTGTTGCACCAGGTAAAAACACTATTGGCTGTGGGCATATTAGTTAAGTACAATTTATCAATTGTATTATTAAAACTAGCAAAAACTCTGGGTGCATGTCTTCTACCTCCCTTCTTTTCATTATTGTACCTAACAACATTCCAATCCCCCAATAGTAACCAAGGTCCATCAATCCACTGGACAGAATCCTCTAAATCCTTCCATAGCTGCTTCCTCTCTCCATCAGTATTTTTTGCATAAACAAAGGAAATAAAGAACTTTGTAACAGTTCCTCGAATCACCACCTGTAATAGAATCATATGATGCTTAGATATAATTATTGTAACCTCAATCTTTATGGGATCCCAACCACACCATATACGGCCACCACTATCAGCATTATAGTTGTTAGTCCAATCCCAGTTATTCCTTATCCTATATGTAATACTCTTGAACTTTGTAATTGAAACTCTGGTCTCTACCAGACCACATAAAAAAATAAAGGAACTACTCAACCAAGCCATAACTTCCTTTTGCATTGCTTGTCTATTGAGCCCTCTTATATTCCAAAGCCCTATCATTGAGAAACCAAGTTTGGTAGAACATTCCCACCAGCCAACATTCCTCTTGTAATTCTCATACTAGCTTCCACCTCCACCTCCTTCTTTCTATTTTTCTTTTTTTGCTTCTTTGAAGAAGGAGTTCCACCTCTAGGAGAGACTGGAACCTCCTCACAACTCTCCTTAATTCCATCTTTCAAACTATCAATAAGGACCCCTTGAGTTTCTGGAACCATATCCTGTGTATCAGTGGCATTAAGCACAATATTCGGTTCACAAACCCTCTCTTGACTATCCACTTCTAGATGCTTCTCTTCTACAAGACCTTGCTTCTCAGTTTCCACAATCTCTAGAACCTCATCTATCTCAGCACTTTCCTCAAGCACTTGAAATGCATTGACTGATATAACCGGAGTTTGAGTTACTTGTTGTCCCACCTTTGTTTTCCCTTTTGATTTTCTCTGCACTGTGAAACCTTCCTCTTCATCTTGAACATCATTTGGAATTTCCACAACTGGTAACTTAGTCAAATCCATAACCTTTTGATCACCATTCTTATTCTTGACCACCCACTGCTCCTTAGGCTTAGGTTTAACTTTGTTCAATGGACATAAAGCTTCCACATGATCCATTTTCTTACAAAACTTACATACTTGGGGTGTCCATTTATATTCCACTTTCACTTTACATGGCAATCCATGCAATCTAGATTGTATCGTTTCTGGAAACACACCATCAACCTCCATCTCGGCTAGAACACGAACATACAAACCTTTTTCCCTACTTTGAATCACATCCTCCATGTACATATGTTTGGCAATATTAGATACAATTTTTGAAATAGAAGTTCCATTCCGTACATGCACCAGCAGATCACATACCTTCATCCAGATAGGAACTGTGACTAATATCTCTTTCCAACTGTATACTCTTGTGCCATTTTTTCACAATGATGGCACGCCCTTGAAAAGTATGGAATCTCGCTAACACATTCATCAAATCCTCTTTAGATGGAAATCTTACCTGAAAAAAGCCATGCTTCATTGAAACAACCACCGAGTCCTTATGCCACTATTTATGCACGTATGCTTTAAAGTAAGGATAGTAAGGTTTGCTACCAAGGACATAACATACCACAGAATTGTTCCAATACTTTAGTTCTTCGACAATATCTTCATCCTCAATAATAACAATCTCTTTTCCATGACTCTCACTATAATACGTTAGGGGAGTGAATCCCGTAGTAGTAGAATTCAAGAGCAATGAACTCCACGATGGACGACTAGGTTGTGGGGTAATTGCAAGTGTAACGCTACCCGCTAGAGAGGAGGGTTACCCCTCCTCCATAGAGAACGTCCTCGAAAAAAACTTTTAACCCTAGAAGAAATCGCCTACAGTAGAGAGAAAAAAGGGCAAAAGGTCACTTTCTCTAATTTTGACTTTTGGTCAGATTAATATAGTTAGGTAGATGATTCATGCCAACCAAAGATAGTTTATGCTAGATAATTGAATTTCATGTGCTAAACTTGCAAATTCAAGACCTTGATAGGCTATGCCTAGGAAACACATTTTAGCACCTAAGCTAGGGCAATTTAGTCCATTCATCTATCTTTATTTTTCCGTTTTAGTACTAATTTATGTTTTTGTCTATTTCAGGTCAATAAGGTTCAAACGGGCTAAAAATGGTCCATTACAGCCTTTTTGGAGTCGAGCATAGAGTTCCGGAAAGTTTCAAAAAAATGCAGACTTTCGCCACCTGGAGACTTGGATCGATCGAAGAATTCTCGATCGATCGAAGATATTTTGGATCAATCGAGAATACACTGGCAGTGAGCTGTTTTATTCCCGTGTTGGCCTAAACTACACCTACCACATGGTTGTGGGATTGTATATCTTAAAGGCTTATTTTTTGACTTGTTCACTACTTTAAGAAGCTTGTATAAAGGGGGAATTAAACCAATTGTAAAGGGTTTTTAATTATTATTTTTATTTTTACATTGTAATAGTTAGTTCCTCACTCTAGAAAAGTTTGAGATTAGGGTTAGAAGAAAAGAGAAGAGTGGAGGCACCAAGAACACATCTCAAGATCTACACACTTTCTCTTTCTAGAATTCAACAAAGAAAAAGAGGAAGAAGATGGAGCCATGTTTGGGGATTGCCCTTGAGGGCTTCAAGATCACACCCACCTTCTCTATGATTGGCTAGACTTTTCCTGGGGCTTGGATGAGCCCTAAGTTTATAATCTAAACCTCTATCTCTTTCATATTTTTTGGTGAATAATATCTTGTGATTAGTGTTTTAGCCTTGTGAATTTAATTAATCTTGGGTTCTCCTTTGATTTCTATGGATTAATTCTTTCTATTGATTCTCTATGTGATTACATGCTGTCTTATGTGTGATTATTTGGGAATTGATCTCTACACTAGTTTTTCTATATTAATTGCATGTCTATGTATGGTTGATTAAGAATCTAGTGATGGCTATGCAAGGTTTTCATTGAATGGATTTATCAATTAATTTGATGAGTTATGCTTATTCTTGATGGGTTGTTCAACAATTTAATTCATACTTGTAGTTAGGTAGACAATATATACTTGATTTGATATTCAATGGCTTAGTATTGCAAATTCCATGATTCTCTAGATTAATATGTGTTATGATTGTACTAGTTTGATGGGTCATGCTTAGGATTGATGGGTTATTCTACACTTAGTTTAATTATTGGTTAGGTAGGCAATTTATACTTGAATTTGATGGTCCATACTAAATATTGCAATTGGTAGTCACATCTAGATTACAAGAATGCTTTCCCCAATTAGTTGAAAGTGTGTGGTTTGGTGAACGAGCTTGGTGGCGATTCTTATGTCCAAAAACCTCACTTCTCATCTCTTAAATTCATATCTCAACTTAGTTTTATTTTACTTGCATTTTAATTAAATGAATCTTAGTTTAATCAATAATCTAACCTTCCTTTGCAATCTTTTGATACATTAGAGTCGAAGTTAAAATTTCAACACATATAATCTCTTGGAAGGATCCCTTCTCACTTATACTACATAGTATAGGTGTTAAGCGGTTTATAAATTTAAAGTATGATGCCCACTTGACACTAATTTCCAAACTCAAAATGTTGAGCATTATTTTGTGCACACGCTCTGGTCGCATCATAATTTTGACGCTGTTGCCGGGGATTAACGATTTTATTGGAATTAGACTAGACAATAGTGTTCATTTGATTGCTTCTACTTTTGTTTTATTTTCCATTGTATATTCTTTTCTCAATTTTGATATTATTTGTTCAATTAGGTACTTGACTACAAGGAAGGCAAACATTGGATCTTAAAGCAATCATTGAAGCTTAAAGCTAACATTGGAATTTGAAGTTGCTTAAGGACCTTTGTGAGCAATTCTTGGAACTCTTGCATTGTAATTGTGTACTTCTTTGTATGCTTGTGATAACACTTGTTGAGGCTGATTTCATTACTTTATATTAAGTCCAAGCATCGGTCCGTGTGGAGGTCAAATTTTTTTCTTGCATTTGGATTTTTAATGTGAATGGAGCCACTATTTGATCCAAGTTTGGGGGCCGGGGGGGGGGGGGGGGGATTTCTTCCCTTCACCTTATGCCCCTCCATCATATTTTAATCCTTATGAGATTGAGTCAAATGTTCAACATGCATCATTTTATTATCGACTCGATCACTCTTTTAATCGTTCTTATGCCTATTACCCTCCCCCACCATTTTATAAAAAACAACCTCCATCACCTTATTCACCCGGGTTTCAAAAAAAAGTGTTAGCTTTACTTGATGTCCCATATTTCACAAACTCAACTTATTAATTCTCATTCTCAAACTTTAGCCAAGTTAGAAGCTCAAGTTAAGCAAATTGCAAGTATTCTTTCTCGTTAAGAGGAAGACGAAGAGGCAAATGAACAAATGGCAAGAATTTCAATTTAGATAGATGAGGATGAGGAGAATAATGAGGATGAGATAAGTGAGCTAATGCATAACATTCTATCTTGTATAGAGGAGGAAGTGGCAAATGACTTAGTGGCTAATCCAATAAAGCACAACATGACTTATGAGGATTTTGTTGGACCAAGAGGGGGGGGGGGGTGAATTGGTTAAATCATTTTTAAATAAAGCTGGAAGATAACACAAAACAAGTATAAACAGCAATGCAACAGGTTTTACAAGGAAACCTCTCAATTAGGAAAAACCTTAAGTCTTGGCCTCAGCCAATGCAAGCATCCACTCGTTGTAAGTAAGCTATTACACACTCAACTGTCTCACTCTTTGCACACACCCTTGTATCAGAAGTGGACACTAGCTTTCACACACTTCACTTCACACACTAGCTCAACAAAGTGTATACACACACTCCCTCTATCCTAGACAACCCTGCTAAGACCAAACAAGCTCTCTAAGCTCACCAAATACATTATAACAAATGTAAAACAACAATCACAAATCCTTTCTTCAATTGAAATAAGACTGACAACTCAGTATCTCAGATTACCACTTCATAACAACAATTTTCAGCAATTATATCTTGAGGGGTAAAATGGGAATTTCCTCCTCGAGATTAATTCAAAAGCATCATACTCAGTCTTCATTCGCTGTAGTACTCATGTTCATAACTTTTCATCACTGAAGTATAGCATGAGATAAACATATAGAATTAAGACACCCCTTGTTTCAGCAAACACATTGTTTAGAACTTAGGGTTGAATACTGAGAATTCCAGCAGACCATAATTCTATCACAAAACCAACTTCAACATACTAGATTCATCAAAATACACTTGCTAGAAGATCAAAATCTTATAATATAGCAAGGCAAAACCAATCAGTGCTTGAATCCAAGAATTTATCAAAAAATTAAGTAAGACCGATGAGCTCACTTTCCATTTTTGATTTCAGCATGATTTCAACAATAGCTTAGTACTGAGCAAGTGTAAAA